GCTTATCGCTAGCTGAGAGCTGGAACGGTGAGGCAGCGGTTAGCCTCAAGGCGCAATTCCATTCATTCCTGTATAGCGATAGACAGGTGAAGGAGTACTTTAATTTAAGAGATGCCATGTGAAGATGAAGATTTATTATGGTACTATCTGATAATGTTATTATGAGTTTTATTCCCTGCAGGTCACAACAAGAGTTAATTCTCACTCACAGTTTTTTGAGTGACACTCGGTTGTGAATCTGTTGCTGATGCACAGCACTGGGTAACCAAAATGAAAACACATAATAAACAGAAAGATGTTCGTACTGGTGAGACCAGCGGAGGGGCCACCAGTGTGGAGGTGCATAAACACGGTGGTGCATGTCAGAGCAGGAGCTCGCTTTGAGGCAGGACGCTCACAGACTGAGAGACAGACAGTTACCCGGACCCGTCAGTAAAGCCATTTCACCTGTAACCTGAGCAGCCCGACTTCTGAGACGATGGCTGATCTTCCCTGGATCCTGAGTATGATGATAAGGAGCTGAGATAAAGTGCTAACTGAAGGGTAACGACAGAGCTATGAAGACAAGGGTGGGGCATCAGGTGATATATCCTTGCATGTCATGACCACAATTACCAAGGGGCCTCCACTCACCTCCTGTGAGAACCAACATCTGTAACATGCTGCCATCTCCTCTCTGTTGGAAGTCCACTTCATAACAAATATAAATAACCTGAAAAATAACTGAGATTAAATACGTATCATTAGTCACTAAATAGTAGTGCCACTTGCCATTTTGAGTCGACCAAAATGAAACCTCAGTTCTGGTCCAAACCAAAGCAGGCCAAATTTGAACCACACTTTTTCTGTGTCTGTTCACTTATAGCAGTTTGACTGTTCGATGTCCCCTTTTCCTAGAAAATTCAGCAGATGTTCTATTTATTATGCTCAGGCTGCCAAGAATCTCAGGGAGGACAACTTGAACACGTGAGGAGAAGCAAACTTTGAGTTGACCAGACTCCCCTTCTCCCACCAGAGAGGAAATTTTATGAACTCACTGGGGAAAGATAAGGATTCTTCTCCGACACGGCCGCTCATACTACGAATTCCAGTGAAATCACCACCGTATATTCACAGACCGAAGTATGTGTTAACACCTAAAGCTGAGCTGAACACTTGCCTAAATTTGCAGCCATTTTGAAATTAGAGGTGCGTGTGACAGGTCACAAATCAAATCAGATCATAGACAAACCTTCGAAGATGACTATAATTAGAGTTTACTTCTGGATTTAGGCCATTTGAATTATGCCGGATTTTCTTTTTATGAAGAAATATGTGGATACTTTTTTTTCAGTTCTGTGCTCCTTTATCTGATTTACCAATTTTGGTTAATATGAGAAGAAAAATCTAAGTCATGCAGCAGACGTTTGCTTTCAGTTCTTGTTTGCTATTTACAAAAGCAGACTTCACCATGGTCACCAGGGCTGCACACCGAACATGCAGAGAGCAAAAGAGAATCATTTCCTATTTGAAACCTCATTATGTAACTAAAGAATAGCTGCGTGAGCTGGGTTGCCACCCCCGAGGCGTTCAGAGATTTGCTGTTAAAAGGTTATATAGGATTAAAGCAGATGAGGGGCAGCCAGGACTTGTTAAAGGGTCATCTCCTTTAAACAGTCTTCTCACAGGGGAGCATTCCTGCAGTAAGCCAATTTAACAGGCAAGACCAGCCACCATTCACAATCTCTGTCCTGAGCAGAAAAGGGGAACTGTGTAGAGACAGTGCACAAACTACTTCCTCCTTCAGGCTGCAAGAATAAAAACTGAAAATGAAAGCTGTAAATTCTGAATGACACAGGCAGCTGTAACTTTAATTTCTCTTTGACATTTGTATCATAAAGTTATTATGATAGAAGGTAACAAGGCTAAACTCCTGCTATTGCTAACTAGCTTAGCAGAGAAGTAACTGCCATCTCAGCTTTTGACTCTAGTGAAATTAATGCGATTTGATGTGGTTAAGCTCCCTTTAATGTATTAAAGTGTAAAATAATGTATTATATTGACTTCAATATAAATAGCCCAGACAGACACAAATCCTATTCTCTTAAAATATATAGTTAAAATGGACATATTAGCTGAAAGAAGTTGGCAATGAAGGGTAAATATCACCCTCATTAAACAAAGCTACAGCCATAGCGACTCGGTGAGGTAGGCTAGGTAAACACCACGATGCTTTGGGCTGAATGCTAATGTGATCATGCTAACATGCTCACAATGACCAGGTTTACCATGTTCACAATCTTTGGTTCACGTGCTATCTGTTGCTAATAGCACAAGTGCACTGAGGCTGAAGGGAATAGTTTTGCAGGTTTTTGGTCCATAAACCAAATATACTTAAAAAATTAAATTTAAATCTGATGGTGGCTCTACATGAAAGGTTAGGGGGATCACCAAAGTTACTGCAATTCACTTAAAATGGGCTGTGATTCTCTGGACCGAATTTCATGGAAAATGTCGAATGTCATGCCAAAGATGTAAGCCATGACGGCGCTACAGGAAAAGTCAGGGGATCAGCAAAGTCTCTGGGATTCAACCTCTGAAGGTCACAAATGTTTGTACAAAATTTAATGTGAATCCATCAAACTGTTGTTGAGATATTTCAGTCTGGACCAATGTGGTAGACCGATCAACCAACCAGACATTAAGGGCATAAAATGAAGACATTACAACCTTTCTATCTGTTACACGGTGAGCCATCACTGCCTTGCTGCTTTATATAGCACATCAGCATGAGGGCTATTCTTTGACAAGTGACATTATATTACATAACTGATCACCATCAAACAGACAGAGGGCTGGAATACTTGCTGGCTGGCTGTCCCTTCTGAAAAAAAAATCAAGTCAGACACAGGCATTTATCTAAGCCTGTGAAATCCTCCACACAAAAAAGGGAAAATTTAAGAGTGGTTCTCAAATAGCCAAATTCCATTTTCTCCTCGATGCATCACAGTGGTGTGCTCACCTAGTAACTGGTAAACACACATCAACAGTGACTAAAAAGCATTAATGAACCTCGATATATTCTCCAAAGAAAACACTTTAAGTGTTGCCACACTCCAGAGCTTGAGGAATATCATCCCTGCTGCCATTGCCTACGTGTATACTGGGACTATGTTCACACCATATATCTGCTTCAGTTGTGGTTTTACTGATTTATTGTGTCTATCACTGCTGGAGAAACGATATGCCAAAACAAAACTACATAAGGTGTCCCTGGCTGACTGGCCAACACCTGACCAAGATAAAGAGCTAAATTGCAGAGATTATGATCTGCCATAAAGTGTCTGAGTAACCACATGCAGCCAGACCTCAGCCTCAAACAATGGAGACAAAGACCTCATGCATGTGCGACACGTGCCTGAAAAGAAACTAAGACGTCCAGACGTTCAGTCAGACTTTATTCATGTGACCTCGGGGTGTGATGCATATGTCATATTATTACATTGTTAGTGTCTGCGATGCGATCAGTGTCAGGGCGGTGCTGGACAGGTGTTCGTCGACCATCTACTTAACACATGGCGATACAGCATGAATTATTAATTAAAACACTGTTCAGAGAAGAATCAGTTCTTTGGAAAATTGAGTTATCGTATTCAGGATTCTGATCTTTTGTCTAAAATTTCAGTTGTTCACAATCAGGACAATCAGTCTGGTTAACAGGGATGCATTTACCAAATGTGCCATACGGAAAGTAACTCAATGACCTCAATAATGAAGTAATTGTTCCATTTTCAGCAACTTTATACATATAATCCACTACGTTTCAGAGAGAAATATTGTACTTTTACTCCACTACATGCACCTGCTTAATTTAATAGTTAATAGTAAGCACATTTACATAATCAACAAATAAACTATGATGCATTTTATAATTAAACTACCTAACAGTATATAAAATAGTTAAATTAACTCCACCTTACCTCGCTCAAAAAGTATAATATTTCCCTCTGAAATCTAGAGGAGTAAAAGTATAACCTCCATAAATTCACTGACTTTCCACCACTGTAATATGATATATACTGTATATCATACTATAACACTCTGAAAGGGGTTATCGTGCATAATAAGTGCTTTTACTTTTAATACTTCAGAACATTTTAAAAGCAGGATTTTTACTTTATATCTTTACACTGTTTAAACTTGCAATAACTGATTTTCTTAAGTGGGGGCAGCATACACACAACAATGACGTATCAACTTTTAACTTTACAGGGGGAACTTGTTAGCCAACAGTTGCCTATTTATTATATTATATATTTATACATCCAGCAGACACAGAGTGACATAAGCATTGATTTTGAGTCATGTTTCTGGCTACTTGATGAATTTAACTTCTAATCAGAGTTGTTTCGGTCTCTTTACTACTGAAGGGAAGTATCTGGCTCTTTAGCTGCTAAATGCATCACTTTATTTGTTTGGTTGATATTATTACTGATTATAGCTGCTTTAATTGGATATTCTGAGCACTTCCACCACTGGTTTTATGTAACAAATACTGCATGCAAATACCCACTGATCAACACTTGCTATCATGTTTAAATACCAATTTTCCTCTCAGTATATGTCACTAGTCTTTGTTATTATGACTGTCTCCAATGTCAGCGCTTTACTTCTGCAAGTCAGATGAGTGGATGAGGTCTCTTGTCACATATTCAAATCCGAAACACCTAACCATATATGTGACACGGCCCTGGTCTTTGGTTTGAACGTGGAAGGAAGATACCCCCAAAACAGAAAGCTTGCGTCTACATGGCAGCGAGATGACTAAGCATGAGGCGTGCTGCCTGTGGCACTGTGCAGACATGTTCCATTCTGTCAGAGCTTTGCAGCACATAGGCACCATTTCACACGGTCCCCCGACTCTTGGCGAAGCGAGTGGGAACTTTAAAGGCTCTGCTGACAGCCTATACCCAGCATTTAAGCACTGTGACTGGAACTGCAACTTCTTTTCTTTTTTTTTATTGTAATTTCCTCAATGCATTTTCAAAACAAACACATATAGAACAGGCACTTTTCACTAGTGCGTACACTTTTGAGCTCAGATGTTGCATTAATGAAAGCGAGAAAAACATCAAGTGTGTCAAAGGCCTTTCAGGACCAGGTGGTAAGAAAATACAATACTTAAAATCAGAGTGGGATGACTGTTGTTGTTTTTGGCAGCACAAATGAGAAAAAAAGTGACTTCATTGTTCTTCATGGCTGACTCATATATGATACAGCAGTGTCAGGAAAATGAACACTGTCCTATGGCAGGCCCCCGCCCCAACCCCAAACAGTGAATATCTAAGTTAAGCATTCTCTTGAAACAAACCGCCCCCCCTCAAGTATTGCTGAGTGTGTTCACAGTGTGTGTGGTCTTGGAGTGGAAAACCCTTCACTGTTTTGAGTCTTTAACGCCATCTACTGGAGGAATTACTGTGCTGATCAAAAATAAACAATCTAGAAAAGCTCTAAGATATCAGAAAAATCAATAAATATAAAACCGTTCACCATGTCCTATGAAATCAAATATTTAAATAAACTAATTAAAGCAAATATGAAGTTATATTCCTACTGTTATATTCCCATCTTCACCCTATATTGCACTGTGACTGCAGGTTACATCTTCTGCATCCATTCACTTAGCCGGAAAGTTCAGGTTGTTGTCCTTCCTGTTTCGAACCTCTTCTGTACATCAGCATGTATGCTGTTTCTCTGTAAAAATAAAACACATAGTAAAACATGTTTAGACAGAAACGCACAAAACAGAGTAATACTTCTCAGGCTTAGTGCAGGAAAGGGATAAAAGGAACACATAAAGAACATTTTTGTACAATAAACAGGAATAAAAAGTGAGAATATAACTACTAGGTGTTGGAGGATAAGACAACATGAAAGACAAGATGGATTTCCTCTGTTTAAGAGTTCAAAAGTTTGAAAGCCTTCATGACAAAAACACCTTTAGTCTCTAATCTTCACTGACAACAGAAAACAGACAAAAAGGCTTTGTCTAAAGATCTAAAGCTGTTTCCGCAAGTAGGAAGATAAAAGCTGCATGATGTCAGCGGGAGTCAAGCATTTAAGGCTTTAAATGTTATTAATAAAAATCTTAAATATAACTCTAAAAGCAACTGGAGACCGGTTTAAGGAGGCTAAAATGGGAGTCACATGTTATTTTGTTACTTTTTGCTGAAGGCATTCTTGCTGTATTCCAAATTTTTTGAAGATGAGAGACGATTTAATAGATGAGGCTGAACACAGAGAATTTAAGTTGTTAATGTGAGAAGAAATAAAAGTCTGAAAAGCTCTCCATATGAGCTCAGAAATGAAGAGTATCAATTAGTCTGCCAGCAAGTAATATAGCCAGTAATTCTATTTCCCAGAATGTAAAATTATTCCAGGAGCAAAATCTAATTTCTGGCAGCTGTTTAAACGTGAACTGATATCTCATTCTACAACTATTGAGCTTCAAACTCATGATTAACCTCAAGTTTAAAAGAAGAAATTGTGCGAATTATAATTTTTGAAAGATGATCAGTGTATATCTATGTATTGTGTATAAATCTAGAATAAAAGGTGACCCAGAACAGAGCCCAGAGGCACTTCACAGTCCAGTTGAGCCAGGAAAGACTAAGAATTACCCAATTTAGCTAGTTTAGCTATCATAACGTAGCATAAAGACGTATGATTGTTTTATCTGTTTAATCCCTACAAAAACTGAAGTGAAAAAGAAAAGTATAGTTTCTTTTTTGCTTTGAGATAAATCGCATCTTAAGAGCTGCTGGTAGGCGGATTTTGCTACCTTTGGACAGATTAGCCCCATCCTTATGACAAGTTAAGCTAACTGGCTGCTGATAGTAGCTCAATGTTTACAGTGGCATCAATCTTCTTCACATCTCTCTCCAAGAGAGAAAAAAAGCACAAAATGTTGAACTATTCCTTCAAGAAGACTCCATAACCCTCATATATTGTTATCAAAAGAGCCTATACAAGACAGAACAGACTTAAAAATGTATGTTCAGCATTTCACCTGCGATATCCTCCATATGTTGACTGTACTTCCTTCCAGGAGGCCTGTTTGTTGGGATACAAATCAGAGAGAAGGAATCACAAATTTGCTTAAATCTGAAGTATAGTTCTTCAAGAATCCCTCTTGAACAAGGGGAGCGTAAAAACATTATTTCCCTTCCCTTCTTGGTTTTAGGGAACAAACTTAAAATGGGAATTCAGACATTTCAGATACAAAACTTCACAACTTAGACTTTAAGGTTAGTTTAGTTTTAGTTTACAGTATTTATAAATGCTCTGAAACAGGGATCATATTATGATGTTATGATGTTCTAATGTTCAATTCACAAAGATTTTTACAAAGATTCAGATTCTGTACCTGTTTTACGTGGCTGTCATTCGCATAGTACCAGCGCTGGTTCACCCTGTGACGAACGTAGGCAGTATAGTGTCCACACATTGCGTAACCAGAGTGTACTACCACCGCATGCAAAGTGTACTTGCAGTCATTCTGGAAGAACAAATGAACTTGTGATTGATGACAGAACATTTAATGTCCGGATAATTTATAGGAAATACACGTACCTGGGCAAAGTCTGTGGAGAACGCCTCTTTAGCGATGTCAGAGAAATCAAAGTTTTCTGGAAAAGTCACACTGCAATCAAGTTTTCGGGTATAACCGTTGCTATTTCGAAACCTCTTCAGGTGCACGCACAAGATCTGAGGCAAGGAGAGCAGTTTGACACCCTGAGAAAGAAACAAGATGTTTAACTATGTTGGTTCATACTTTTTGAGAAGCATAAAATTAAATCCACCCTCACCTGTTTGGATGGAGTCTTTTTTCCACATTGTTCACAAAAGCAACAGTTGATGCCGCTTAGCTCCTGGTGTTCAAAGAAGGAGGTCATGCAGCCTTCCTGAAAGGTTCATGTTAGAAATACTTGTAAGTTTCAATTGATAAATGTTTAAAATAATAGTCTGACACTTATATGGGAAATATGTTTATTTGCTTTCTTGATGAAAGAGATTAACATGAGAAGATCGAGACCACTGTCACACCTGTATGGTAAATGTGCAGCAGCAGCCAGTTACCTTAACTTAGCATAAAGACTGGAAACAAAGGGAAACAGCTAGCCTGGCTCTGTCTGAAGGTTACAAAATGTACCTAGCAGCACCTGTAAAGCTCTATTATTAACACGTTATATTCTGGACAGTTTTTTTAGCATTTGCTCCTGGCCAAGAACTAGACATAACCCCCCATAAAAGCTTAGAATAAAGACTGGTGTAGTGATTCATGGGTACAGCTAGCCCAGCTCTGTCAATAAATAAAGTAATATAATGTTTAAGTCACACAACAAGTATTTTCGTCCCCGTAACATCACTAATTCCTCCACTTCTGTTTTTCTATGAATTTCTAGTCCCCATTTTTAGTTTTTATGCTAGGCTAAGCTTCATATTTAATGTACAGACATAAGAGTGGTGTCGATGTTCTCTACTAGCTTTCAGCAACAAAGACAATGAGTGCATTTCCCAAAATGTTCCTTAAAATCAATGCATAGCTAACCAAAAGAAAAAAGAAACAATACCAGAGAGTTGTGATCTTCTTTGATATGCAGAGGCATGCTGAGCAGGTAGCTGGCCCGAGTCTGCATGGAGTTACAGTCTAAACACTGCAACTGCGTCTCCAAAGAAATCTTGTACAGATTCTGGATTTCAAGAGCCTGGAAGAGGAAATAAATAGTCAAAAATAAAATATATATAAAATAAAGCACTTACAGGTAAAAAATAAAGAATATTAATGACTAAAGACCAACCAGAGAACTGTCGTCCATCTGTTGATGCGTTGAGTTCAGGATGGTGAGGAACACCTCATCGGCATCATGCTGCGTATTAACTGCAACAAAACATTCTCACTGTCAGATAAACTACATCAATATGAGACATTTATTGTGTAAGTTTTTTCTCTCCTCACGTCGAAGGCTGTTTCTGTCCAGACAGCTGAGGAAGTCGTGATGGGGAGCAGGCTGAGGGAGGTCTTTTCTCATGGCCGCGAGAACTTTCTTAAGCTGCAACGGGACGTTACGATCATCTGTCCTCACGCCAGTTTCATCCCACCTTGTGCAATTCATAAACTCTCATTAAGGTTAATTTGTAGCAACTTTCTCAACATGTATCTGTGAGGTATCTTTGCTCCTGATTTCTGAGAATTTTACACATTAAAAGTATTTGACACTGTGAAGGCCCAGGACTCAACAATTACCGGTAGTTGATTAAACGATTAGTTGTCAACTATTAAATGAACTGCCAACTATTTTGATATTCAATTAACTTTTAACTTTGAGCTATTTAAGAAAAATGTCAAAACTCTTCTTCAAATTTGAATTTTTGTCAGTTTTCTTATGACAATAAACTCAATATCTTTGGGTTGTGGACAAAACAAGGCATTTGTGGATGTCCCCTTGGGTTTTAGAAAACTTTTTTTTTGTTTACATTTTATGGACCAAACAACTAATAAATGAATCTACAAAATAATCAACAGATCAGATTAAAAATAATTGTTAGGTGCAGCTTTAAACTTCATGCGTGTTGTTCAACGTAAATCCTGTTTTTAAATCATACAGATAAATGTTATATTGTGGATCCAACTGGGAAACTATTTCCAGTTAATGTTATCCTTTTGATTTAGTTTAAGATACTGGGTTTTCTCGTCCCTATTTTTCTATCTTTGTCTTCTCAGTGTGTTCATTGCTCATACTTAGCTAGCTAAGTAGCTCAATTTATGATTCAAATCTCAGTTTATAGAAGGGTTATGGCTAGATACAAATAAAACCTTTGAACTGTGTCTTGTGCCTGACTTGCTCGCCCAGTCACAGACACCCAGTGGTGAAGATATCATTGTTTTATAAGTCAGGATCATGCAACTTCATTTTCTTACTTGTCCAATAGGTCTCCTAGTTCCCAGGTAGCAGAGAAGGTCTGCAGTAAAGTGTTCACACAGCAGCACAGACAGTAGTTGGGGAGGCCTCTCATTCCTGCGACAGACCATAAGAAACGTTACAACAACCCCGTTCATGATACCTTGAACCGAGCATGTTAACCACGGCTGGGGGCCACCATCAGGAGCCCACAGAGGGGCCCGGAGAGTGGGAATTTACATGTGTGAAAATAAAAATGTAACTGTAAAGTCTTGATGTTAACTGGTGTGGCTACAAACGTGAACACAGCCGCGCAGAACACCCACCTCACTTGTATATTTTTATTAAAATAAACAAATCAATCATTTTATAGAAGACAGAGCAAGAAAGACATGTTTAGTTTATTGGTTTAAGGCCCTACATACAACACATGAATAGCAGGTTTATTTTACACAGATCCAAGGTCAGTATTTTGTTTTTTATGTCATTGCTGCCGACATGAGGGATTTATTGGTTGTGAAGAGGAAAATAATGATGTCAAATGCAATAATAGTAAGAAATTCACTGTTGAATGGGACCAAAAACCACAAATATGCGTGACAAGCCAGACTGATGCAGGTTAGAGCCCATGGAGGTCTTAATTCAGCCATATTGTTATAACAGCTGACGAACAACCAGGGCTGTGTGGGTCCAACTACATCTACAGTGTAAGAATCAAAGAGACCCTCGGGGATTCCCAAACTTTAGAGAATAAATAAGTTATTGCACTTTTTTTTTATTCCTTGAACATTTGTAAAGTCGATTATTTGTTGAACTTTCCCTCCCTCTGGTAACCATCCTGTACAGTCTGCGGTTAAATATGTATGATGTGACGCAATACAAAACATTAAACCTGCAACACAGAAGACTACAGCTTTAGGTTTTGTGTGCTGCTCAGTTCAGTTTTTTACATTATATTGCATTATATTTGTGTTTCTAATATTTTATAGCCTATTTACATAATATACCGGAGCAAAGTCTACTTCAAACACCAATAGAGTTTAACAGTGTACCTTGCTATTGTATTATAGTGTACAGGGAGTTATATTTCACTGGTAACATATGTCTTAATTAGAGGTGGAAGAAGGAGCAATACCAGATCAAAATTTACTTAAAATGACCCATTATGCAGAATAATAGATTTTACCATATTATATAATGGCAATATATCATAATTTATTATTTATACACATATATTTTGTATTTATAATCTGATTTTGCCAAAGTTAAATAAATGTAGTGGAGTAAAAAGTAGATTATTTTCGTCTAGAATGTAGTGGAGTCCATTTATAAAGTAACATAAAAATGGAAAACACTCAAGTAAAATACATAAATATTCGACCACTGCTCACATTTAACAACATAAATCATCTGACAGGTTGAATGTGGTTTACTTACTGAAACTGAAGTCCCTCGGATTAAGTACTGAGAGGCACCGACAGAATCTTGGATACATCACTTCACTTCACAATCAGTCACTGTGAAAACATTAAACAGTTAAAAGAGAAAATGAGTCAAACGTCTATTTTACAGAAAGAGTGCGTTGGAGTGAGAATCTGTCCTCACCTCAGAGTAACCATCAACAGTGGTATCGACAGCTGATCACTTTCGTTTTTGGTGTTTTTGGTTCAAGCGTCGATTTACCGGAATCGAAACTTATCAGTTGCCATGCGCAGAAACTGACCCGACAACGTTAACGTAAAACTTACGTAAAATAACATTTAATTCGGCTTCATTAGCCTCATTTGACATTTAGTCGGTTTCCTTTATCTCACATGTTCTCCCCAATAACACTTGTATTAAGTACTTCTACTCCACATTTCCGAGGCAAATATGGTCCTTTTAACTCCACAGCTTCAGTTACTAGTTACTTTGCAGATTACTTCCTGCTCAGTGAAATATTTAGTCATTATTATTTTATTTTTGACTGAACTGGGTTGAGAAAATTATTTATTATTTAGTATTATTTATTTATTAAATTAAAGAAACGATCAAAAAACACGAGTTGGACCAAAAGGGCTGCTTCTCTGAACTCATGAATAGTTAAGTTAGAGTTATGTGGTTCTCACAAGCTGATGCTGCAATCATGATGATATTATAGTAATACTATATATATATAAATAATATGATGCATTTCTGTATTCAACAACTCAGTATATAAAGTTCAACCTTAAACATCTACAGCAATAAAATGCAACATACACATATTAATCCAATAGTTGCACAGTAAGTAATTTTACTTTTAATGCTTTAACTAAATAATACTTACATACATAAGTACTTCTTCCACCACTGGTTGTGTCTAAAAGCTATTAGTATGTAATTGTTTTATTAAGTTCATCATCTCAACTGTAAAATAATACTGTTAAAATAATGAATATGTGATGTATACCACCGTTATTATGGTCTAATTCAGCCATTTATCACTAAAGTGACTGATATAATTTCTATTTTTGCTGTGGTACTTGTATAGTATCTTGAAATGGATGAATGATTAAAATACACACACAAATTAAGCCTATACACATGTAGATATATTATACATCACACAGTGACCTGTTTTACAATCCTTCTGGTGTAAGATAGCTAAATGAAAAGCTTATTAATCATAGTCAGAGTCGTGGTAAAAGGTCAACAGCATTCAACTCATTAAGTTCATGTGTTTTGTTGATCCTTAATTATTCATTTGATATCTTATTTCTTTCTATTTCATTATTATTTTGTGTTATAAGTTGTGTAAATATATTGTAGGTTCTATGTGCAGCTGCTGTCTTGGCCAGGACACTCCTGTAAAAAAAGATCTTACTCTTAGTGAGACTCTGGTTAAATAAAGCTATTATTACGATGAAGAGGGAGCTGCTTTAGGAAGAAGAATCTGGACTTGTAATCTGAAGTATGTGTTAGTTATGATGTGAGGTGAATTTATGTGAAAAGATTAGAGAAGTGCAGCGTAAAGACTGAAAACCAGGCGATAAAATCACTCTGTGGAGCATCTTGATTGCATCAAAAAGTCTGTGGTTTCTAAGTCAGAAAATGGAAAATACCGCAGGAAATGTCTTTGTTTGGAGTAACAGAAGTTGTTAATGTGACTGATGTTTAAACAGATTTAATAAAACTTGAAAAAGTGACAAAACATATTGTGATTTTCAGTCTTTTACAGCCCTTTGCTGTGAGTGAGAGCCTGATGGTAAGGTGCAAACATGGCGCTCCACATCTGTTTGAGCAGTTGAAGAAGTTTGGAAATCCACATGAATGAAGACGGATGAGCTGCCAGGAAAAAACAGAAAGATTTATATTTCAAATCAAACATTTCATACTCCAGCAAGCCTTGTGATGAAACTGAGCAACAAAGAACATTTAAACCCAACCTGGATCCAATCGAAGAAAAAGCATGTAGAGAAGAACAGCAGCCGTGAAGACTTTTCTGAGAGAGAATGAGCCAGAGCCGGTCAGCAAGAGTTTTCTGTAGAAGAACCTGAGCATGGCTTCAAGTTTACGGACCACAGCTCCTGTGGAAGACAAACACAGTCAGAAAGACTGTCTGCATACATTATTTGTATATGACTGAGTATAATGCATGTTGTGAGGGCTGAACTGAAATGTGAGACCTTGAGTTGAGCTAGTATGTGCAGTGGTCTCAGAGTTTGGACTTGGATTTAGAGGTGGTTCTTGTTTCTGTTGCTCTTTTTCTTCTACAACATCCAGTGCGGCCTGCCTCTGGTCCTCTGTGAACGCGCTGCCCCCGACCTCCCCGACAATCAGCTCCAGAGCCTCGTCTCTGTGTCCGAGAGGCACGAGGACATGCAGCAGGTACAGCTCTGCCACCGTCCTGAACCCCGTTACTCTGCTGTTGGACGGGCAGTGTAACCAAACTCTGGCTGCCTCCTGCATCACTGCTGGCTCTCCCACTTTGGAGTAAAGAAGTATGCTGCCAAAACGAGGGAGAAAATCATTTTTAAAATGCATTTTAGAGCTGAAAAGATTAGTTGATAAAGTGATTAGTCAATTGGTTAATGGTTTTAGTCTTTTTTTAAGGCAAAAATGCCAAATATTGTCTGATTTCAGCTTCTAAAATGTGAAGATTTGTTGCTTTTCTTATAGGATTATACTCGTAATAACATTTAATCTCTTTGAGTTTTGGACTGTTTTTGAATACGAAGACACTATTTGTAGGAAAAGCGATTAACTGAGATGATCTGCAGATTATTTGATAGTGAAAATAACAAATAAATAAAATAGTTGCAGCCCTAAAGTATTCATTAATTTGTCTAACTCAGGGAAAACAAATAAAAATACCAGCCATATGTCTCTGATGTTGGCCTGGTTATTCAGTGATGTGCAAGTTCCTCAGATTCATCACAATTAGAGCTACGAATAAGGATTGTTTTCAGAATCGATTACTTATTAAGCATATGAAACATCAGACCGCTCCACTCACCACATCTGCATTATTTTAGCAGGTATTTTCTCCTGGTGCTCATACTGCTGAAGGACCCAGGAGAGGACACCGTGCCACTGATTCAGCTCGGCCAGTGCTTGAATCCCTAAGATGCAGAAACCAGCCTTAACCTCTCCACATCTGAGGAGGGAAAAACACAGAAACACACGGTGACATTACACATCCACGCTGCAGGGAGCCTTCAAGTGACACCAGGTGCGTTTTAGACTCCCTCACCTGCTGTCCTCTTGCTCCATGTTGGCGAGACTCTCCAGGCCTCTGTCGCATGTGTCTAAGGCTGCCTGGAAATCTTTGTGGACCATCATTTGCTCTGCAGCGGTGTCCAACATGCTGGACATCTGTGTTAAAGAAGAAGTGAGCGGAGGGCTGCAGACTGAGCCGAAGCTGCGAGCAGCAGCCAGGCTGGTTGAACAGCAGCTCATGTCTCACCTATGCGTCAAATTTAGACTTATAAATCCAAAACACACACGCTTTTTTTAAACGCTACGTGGTGTGTATTTACTGCCAGCAGCGTAGCTTGTACCTGAACACCAAATAAACCCGTTTGGAGGTCAGATTTGTGCAAAAAATCCTCTCCTTTACATCTTGTTTACTTTCCACAATCCGTTTAACTTCCAGGTTTGAGGTCGCTGGCCAATCACGCGTCGCCGTCTTCAGCTCGACCCTAACAGCCAATCACGTTGCCGTTTCTTCCAGGGCGCGTCATCGACTTGTAAACACGTGCTTGCGGAGCGGAGTGTCCCAGTTTGTCTCCGGAGACAATTTAAACATCTTAAAACCAGGTTTTCTGTAAGTCAGCGCGTCTGTGTTTGTATGTGTTATGGTGCCCACACTCTGTATGAATGAACTGTGTTGATTTAATCCGCTCTGAAGTGCTTTAATGCGACGACAGCGACCGGGATGGCTCAAGAGCTAACACGCTGTTTACGTAGCCTGCTATAAATGATGATAGTTTGTTAATGTGTCGTTTTATAATGTTACTATCGCGAAATAGTGAGAATGTGTAGCTTTGTATTCTGGTTGATGTGTGAACAGACGTATTATAACTGAGATATTGCGTTGTTTGAATAGTGAGTAGGAGTTTTAAGTTCATTAAAGGCCACAGACAGATTTTTTATTAAAAAAAGACTAAACAATAATTGTGTTAAAACAATAACAGTGAATTGAACGTGATGTGACTGCTGTCTTGGCTATAGTGGGCAGATACATGTCCCTTCTCACTTTTAATACAATCACTATTGATTGATCAATCTCATGTGAGCTACATTTTCCTAATATTCTTCCTTTAAATTGCAATTGAAACATTAGAGTGATTGGTTTTTAATTTGTCACCATATATATATATACATAAGTTTTAATCTTCTTGCCAAATGACCACAGTTCTCATCAGCTGCCTTATGTCACAGAAATGTTGAATAATGTGTGTTATTCTCGTAAATAAGACAAAGTAATGTTGTTTTCGGGTGCTTTAGGACTATAATTTTAAAGATTACCATCATCAAAAACAAAGTGGGGGACGTGGAATAGAATTTAAAGCTGTCCTGAAGATGAAACATAACATAACAGCGTACTTTGACTGGCATGTTTTTGTTTTTCAGATCGTCCTTAAAATGGCAAAAAGCCTCCGGAGCAAATGGAAGAGGAAGATGCGGGCTGAGAAGAGGAAGAAAAATGCCCCCAAGGAGCTGGCCCGTCTGAAACAAGCTCTGAGTCTGGATAAGAAAGGAGAAGCTGTCATGGCTGACGTGCAGGAGATCGCCACTGTGGTGCCAGCTGACAAGATCAAGAAGCAGACAGATGTGGACATGGCGGGGGCGGAGGCGGAGGGTGACGGTGAGTGAGAGATCGAGCACCACGCGGTCGGTGTGAGTGTACCGTCATCTTTCTTATTTATAACTCTTTGAATCTGTCGTTTGTGTTACAGACGGGAAGATGGACTTGGACAGCAAGCGCAACAAGACAACTCTGTTGGATGAAAATGGTCAGTACCCTGCCTGGATGAGTCAGCGGCAGGCCAAGAAACTGAAAGGCAAACGGATCGCAAAGAAAAGTGGCCAGGGCAAGAAGAAGAAGGGTATCTCCTGGTGAGCCAGAGGGAAGACCTTTGCTTTGCCTTAAAGACTTCTGACGCAGAAACACACGTCATCGTTTCTTGTATTCTTTTATACGCGATTGCTGTGGATTTTCTGCTGTTGAATCTCAGTCTGTTCAGTGGATTACAAGATTCCCGGTTGTGTCACAGAGCTTGTTATTGTAATTCACTGCAGGGACATTTTTGTTCTTATGGAACAGCAGCTTCATTTCAGTGTTGGGACGAGTTTAAAGACAGTAAGACTTGTCTTATTACATCATAGCAGGTCAGGTGATTGTCCTGTTCTCTACTACAGTTTAAATCTTTTCATACTTGGATAAAAAAAAAAGTTTATTATGGTATAGTCTTGTCAAATCATCATTATTACTGGGGAACTCTTAGGGGTTGAGACGCCAGCTATGGACAGCAATGTCTCAGGTTTGAGTCAGACATTTGTTGTATGATATTCCTCATTCTTCTCTCCTCGTTTCATGTTGTCTTCCTACTGTCAGAATCTCTCAATTGATCAGAATAGTTGCTGCGTATACTATGATATAAAAGATGTATGCCAAATCATAAATGAATGAACTGTGTTGTAAATAAAACACCTCACACAAATCAATAACTGTTGTTTTTTACCCACGTTTTGCTTCAAATCATTCATTTGAACCATTGACAGTATATATAATATATATTTTATATATTTGGAGAGCAAAATACGATCATAAGACACAATTTCAGTGAAAGATGATAAACAATAATAGCCATAATGTTACTGTAAGATACTGATGTAAAATGGACAAATAAAGTTGGCTTACAAGCAATGTGTATAATATTTTATTAACTCCAATCAGTTAATGCAGATACATTATGTAACTCCTTGCCAATAATGTGAGTTTAGTGGTCATACTATCCTCAGATACTCATTGCCACAGACCCTAAGCGAGATATTACACAGTAAGAGTAAAGAAACCAGCTGATCAGAAACCATTTTGTGATGTATTCTATAAATACAGTGCTAACATTAATATTCTCCTATTGAATGACCAAATAAACCTGAGTGTGCAAAAGTGAAGCTTGTGCTGAAACTCCCTAAGCGCGTCGCTCACTGCATCAGCTGAACGTAAGCGGACGGGAAAAGGCCAACGCGTCCACGACACTGTCCCTTCCACCAGCCCTCGTCAATCATCTCTATGTTGGTGATGATGTCGTCTGGGTTGAAGGAGATCTCGTCATCAGCCTCTGTTGAAAACAGACAAAAGGATTTGTCCTCACAATTGTTGAGAGAAGATTATTGTCAGAAAATGAAGAATTGAAAGAGTGTTCACCTCCTTCATAGTCATAAATTGCTACCGCCTTCTGGCCACACGTCAGGTCTTCGTATTCGTTGTCCTCAGCTGTAAAAGAAAACCCTGAAATGAGTATTTCATATGTGAAAGGTTTGACATTTAACTGATGGCAGACACAAACCTGTCCGCGGAGGAAGAGGTGGTTCAGCAAGTTCCTCGTATTCTCCTTCGTCCCCTTCTTCCGCCACATCTGCCGACCTTTCAGGCAGGGGGGGGGCATCCGTGTCGAGGAAGTCGTCCGAGCGTGGAGGCAAAGCCGGGGGCTCGTCGTACTCTGGTTCCTCCTGGAAAAAAATCACACAATATCTTTGATTTCATAATCACAGATGACCAAAGAAGATCTTAAACCTAGTCCCAGTTTGTGTCTCTCATGTATTACCATTACATTTGAGTCAGGGAGCAAGGGATCTAATTTTCTGTTTTCCAGAAATCTTCAAAGACTCTTCTAACCATCTGGAGGAAAAAATAACCCACAGAAATGTATTTTTTTTACTTTTGATACAAAGATGGTAGCTGGAAATATATAAATATACATAATCTAACTTCTGTCTGCCTGGATTAACTGTTGGAACTCAAGATACAAGTTATAAATCTTTCTTTAATCGTGTACTGGGCAGAGTGTTTTTCATCCACAGGGTTAGAAGGAGTCTGGAAATACCTTCAGAATCGTGGTAAATGATGTTTAATCTCATTGCTCTGTGCTATAGAGTTCCACTCCAACAACCATTAAAAACACATCAGTGAGCCACACTGTTGACATGTTCCTTCAATACATTGAACACACACGCTGTGGTTTACTTTGTCTCAACCCCACACATCCTGCTGCCAGAAATACTCACAAGAGCGACAAATGTTGTATTAATTCGCAGTTAAAAATAGTCCCTAGTAGATGCACAAGTTTCTCCTGTTTGAGACACGTTTGCTAAAAGCTACAGTGGCCTGCAAATTACGGAGCCTTTTCAAAATAACACAATACTATCGTGACCTGATTTATTTCTTTTTCTCAAAATCACTATGCTCTCATTCTGTGTTTCATATACAGGGCATGTGAGTGGGTTAGTGTGCTCCTCAATTTATTATGTTATTGCTGTTTCTTTAATTTTCAGTTACTGTTCATACACAATACATAATATCACCAGCCTCATCCTTTACAATGATGAATACATTATTCCATTAGGTATATTTGTTTGAATCAGTGTCCTACCGCTGACTCTGGCTCAGGTATTTCCTCTATATCTGGCATGTGCTGCTGGATGTCTGGCGGTGGCAAGTCGTACTCTGGATCCACATCTGGAACAGGTGGTGGAATTTCCTCCTCTCTGCTTCTCTCCTCCTCTCTGCTTCTCTCCTCCTCTCTGCTGCTCTCCTCCTACAGAAAACACAAAATCATTGCTATGCGTATTGACCGTTTGTTATTTCGGAACTCCTTTCATATGTTTACAGTGCAGTGTGCGCATTACCTCCTGTCTGCGTTTGGCTAGCTCTCGCTCTCTGCTCTCTCTGGCTTGTCTCCTCGCCTTCTCTTCTTCCGCTTTCTTCCTGTTCTCTTCATCTGAAGCCTTGGCCATGTTTTCGAACCGTGCCTTCAGTTTTCCTGCACCTGCGCTTGCTGCATGAAACAGACAAATGAATACAGTGCACCAGCGCTTGAACATGGGAATGCCTCAGCATTGGTGGCCTTAAATGTTCTCCAGAAAAGAGCAGGAACTTACAGGCCTCTACTGGTTTTGTCTTCTCATAAGCAGAGGTAGGGGAGTCGATGTCTGAGAAGCCAGCTGCGCTCTAAGAGAGATTAACAGAGAGGAAGATACATTTGTTTAAAAAGATAATCGTTTAGTCAAAAAGTTTGTTGGTTCCAGCTTCTTAAATGTAGAGATTGTTGCTTGTTTTGTTGTTATTTTTTGTCCTTTCATTGCGCACAGTCACGACCCTCACAGTCCACTTTAACTTGCAAAGAATAATGGTACAAGGATGGGCTCTGGTTGCCTGAGCAGGGACATGCACAGACCACGATGATGCTTTACCTCGGCCAATTGTGAAACCACAGCTAGTCCTACAATAAACTGGTCCTATATAGGGCAAAACACTGGAACCGGATACAAGCACCTCTGAGCAGCCACATAAACCGCATTCCTCGTACTTGATGTCAACAATCAATATTATTCACACACCCAATGCTTGCACAACCCAGTGCTACTTAATGTGAGACAGCTTACTAAAAACTTACTAAAAAAGGCAAGAATGGGATTAACAGTAACAAAAATAATCAATATTAATGCCAATAACATGTAACTTAGCTCTGTCACAGTGTACATTTGCTTTAAAGATTTAACTTATTGTGATTTGAAACTTTAGCCGAGCTCTATCGTCCACAACATTCATGCCAAAAGGATTATTTGATTTGTTGTGAAACCCATTTAATCGAAAACCAGGCTATGGAAATGTTTGATGGGGCTCTGCCATCTTGTTTCATTTTACAGAAGAACTTTACTAACCTTATCCATGCGGTCTGCCTGTACTCCATAACGACCCCCGAAACCTGCTGAATAATCTAAACAGAAATACATGTGATCAGTCTGATGTACTTTAACTCCTCTGATACTTTCAGATAAACACGTGGGTGTGTCCTCACCTTTCTGTGACTGATGTTTCTCTGTCTCGCCCTTATAATCGTATCCCAACGCAGCTTTATCCACCTTCTCCTTCTCAACACCAAACTTCCCTCCAAATCCCTTTGAGTAATCTGAATGTGAAATGCGTGAGAGCACAGTAATCAGTTGTCAGAAGAAAAATACGTTAAAGCTGACAAATGCTACAACTCAAACTTACCTTTCTGTGACTGGTGCTTCTCTGTTTCTCCTTTATAATCGTACCCCAAAGCAGCTTTGTCCACCTTCTCCTTTTCCACCCCGTACTTTCCTCCAAATCCCTTAGCGTAGTCTGGTGGAAATGAGATGCAAATGCAAAATAATGCAAATGTCAAGCAATTACTGTCAAAACTGACAGCTGCTACAATTTAAACTCACCTTTTTGTGACTGGTGCTTCTCTGTCTGCCCTTTATAGTCGTAGCCCAAAGCCGCCTTGTCAACTTTCTCCTTCTCCACACCGTACTTTCCTCCAAATCCCTTTGAGTGATCTAAAAACATTGTAAGGAAAATGATGGATGAGATCTCTTCTGTTAGGTAGCAAGGAAAATAGTGTACAGTAAGTGACAAGGCCTGACTGTAGCTGGACGGAAGACTCACCTTTCTGAGACGCATGTTGCTGCACCTCTCCTTTGTATTCGAAGCCCATGGCTGACTGCACAGACACAGAGATTGCATTTAAAGTTCATATAAGACTTTAAAGATCCCTTCCGAAAATCTCATGAACATTTAAAAACCCTTTGCTTTTGATTTAATAATGAGTCTGATATAGTTTTTCTACAAAAAAAGATCTAATTACTAGTCAAAAAATCTATAGATTCTTCCTTATTTAAAAATCTCGAAGTCTTAAATCCACATTTCCACATCGCGCTTGCATAAGTTGCATACTCGACCATGATTGGCTCCCTAACTAGCTGTGTTAACACAAAATAATGCTTGTAGTTACACGTCTTAAACTGAAGCCGAAGGTGAACAAACGTGTGAAAACAGTCTTTTAGTGTTAAACTCTACACTTCCATCATTCAGTAAAGGCCAAACATCCAAGTGAAGTAATAATAATAATCAAATCTGTGACACTTTGAGAATTATGGGTATGCAAGACTTGTCTCACCTTGTCAACGCGATCTTTTTGAACACCAAATTTCCCACCGAACCCTTTCGCCGCATCTTTCTGGGAGGAGTGCTGCTCGACTTGTGCCACGTAGTCGTGCCCCAAGGCCGCCTGGACAGCAGAGATACACTTATTAACAGATTCAGCCTACAGTGAACCAGTTATATCAGCAGTTGGGTGGACTGGCAGCAGATAACAGGAGCTTAACAATTTGTCTACCCTGTCCATTCGGTCCCTCTCCACTCCAAACTTCCCTCCGTATCCGTATGACGCTTTGGGAACGTGTTCCTTCTGCTTCACCTGCTCGTGCTCCACAGCGACTTTGCTTCTGAGCTCTGCAACACTGACAGTACATACAGGGTCAAACATACTCACACTGAGATAAACACCAGTACACACAATAATAATAATAATAATAATAGTCATTAGAAATTAGAACTATTTATCAGTAATACCTAACAAACAAAAGGCAGTTTCAAAGTGTTCTCCAGACATTTAAACCATAAAAAGGAACTG